AGAATACTTAGCGCCTGATATTATGCCAGTTGAGTGTTGCCAAGGGCGAGGGCTCAGCACATCGTCTTTGTTTTGAGTATTTCTGAGCTTAAGTATTTCTCCACGGTGCTGTTTGTGTCTGTGGCTGTCCCCACAGAGCACTGCCCTACCCTCTCAGTTTTGCTGACAAAACTGGTTTTGCAGCTGTACTGTGACCTGTATCAAGGAAGCCATTGTACTTTTTAAAAAAAAAAGAAAAGAAAAAAACCCACAGGAATAGAAAAAGAATGTGAAATCAGTTTCCTGGTCCAGCTCCCAGCAATGGCCTGTGTGCAGGTGCATGGCTATGGCACGGGCAGAGGAAGGAGCAGAAGCTGGGCAAGAACACCTAAAACCTGCATTGCACCCAACAACAGTGTTTCCTCTAAGTGTGACCAGTTGCATTTACTTTGAATGCAAACTGTGAGCCTGTCCACGTGTCTAAGCTGCTTTTTGGGGGCTCTGTGGAAGAACCTTTAGTTAGAAGAACATGTCAGAATTTGTTTTTGTAACTACCTGTAAGTATATAAAATCAGATGTTTCATTTAGTGTCTGTATTTTGTACAGGAGCTTACTGCTTCATGATAACACTCCTCAGAACATGAGCGAATACAACAGCTCTGAAGTGTGTGGTCTTGACTTCAGCTCAGCTACACAGGGTGCAAGTTTGTAGAGTCTTTGGTGCAAAAAGCTTAAATTAAATCATCTTCCTACTCCCAAGTGGGTTCTTGACATTGTGCATGTATTTTGTAAGGCTGCTTAAACCAATGCTAAAAGTCATGGTTTTCATGCACGAGTGGAGTATGGATTTGGTTTGGTTTTTTTTAAAGTTGCTCTTGGGATTTTGTTTTGTGTGTGTTTTTTTTTTTTTTTCTTTTGGCTTAGAGTGTGTGTACAAGCTACAAACACCATCTCACACATGCTACACTTCAACGTATGCTTTCCAAACTGTTCTATGCTTTGTGTTGTTTAAGCTGGATTTATCTCCGTATTCGCAAGCTACAGCCAAGGTGTGGCGACTGACAATAGATGGTTGATCTAAACATTAACAAATTGAACTCAGACAGGATGTGTGCTGGGCAAGGGAAGCATGAACCTTTGCTCAACTATAGCACATGACCCCACTTCTCAACCTGGGTGATTCTGAGTGTAACGCATGAGCTGTGAAGCAGTTGCTTGCCAGTGTCTCCACAGAGGAGGGGGTGAAAGAAATCACAGTCAGGCAAAGGGTGCCTTACAAAAGCTTTCAGGTGCACTGGCACGTGTAATACCTGTGCGAAGAATGGAGGAAAGATGAAGGGCTTGGAAAGCAAGTGCAGCACTACTTAAGCTGGGATCCCACACATTTTAAGATGGGCTACTAGTCTACAAACTTGACTCTATACAGAAAACCCGATGCAGAAATAAGCTTCCCATCACATTGCCCTGTCCTCTTGGTACATACAAGACAGTATGTCAGTCATTTAGCCGGTGAATTTTTGTTTGCTACATCACTTCAAAGCTTCCATTAGAAACTTGTAGGGACAATTCTTTCCTTTCTGTCGTATCTCCTTTTTAAACTAATTCTGTTTAACTTGGGAAACCGTGCTCCGTCTACAGCTGTCTCACCTTGAAAACACAACAGAACAAATAGGATTTCTGAACTCTCACAAAATGGGCATTGGTCATACTTACATGGCAACTCAGTGTGCACCGTGTGCTGTCTGGTCTCAGTTCCAAGAAGTGAAAAAAAAACAATCCTGGCATTGTTAACTAATTCCCTTGGATGAGACCATGAGAGATGAAGCTGTTTTGTCTACTGAGCACTGGGTGAGATAGGTGTGGAAAGGGCTGCATGGAAAAATTTCCTCTGGGGTGGTGGGTGGAATACCCAAAGGTTGCCCTCTGCCTGTCTGTTGGTAGGGAGGAAAGCCACATTGTTGCTCTTTGCCTGCTATATCCTATAGGAATGCAAGTGAGAGGTAAGCCAGAAGAATGAAATCTACCTGCTATTCTTGTTACCATTAAACACTGCTTAGTTGCATAGAAGTTTCCTGTGGAAGTTGGAAGTGTTGCATGCTGTTATAAAAGGTGTTTGATTTTTTTAAGGAAGTTTTGGATGTAACAGATAGATGAGATGGAGTGGATGGAAAGAATAAGTTTTCTGGAAAGTATCAGTATATGTTAGACATTTCTGTTGCTTGCATAAAGCCTAGAGAGAAGGATAAATCATCATAATCCCTTTAGGATATAGATATACACAACTATACACGTCCGTTTTGAAGGTTTCAGTTGTGTTGCCCTCTTACTGCACGTATTAACTACTCGTCTTTTTAATTCATTAAATCAGCTAGTACATTAGTCATCTGCATCAGAAATTACTCACTTTTTGTCACTTTTTCTCTCAGGAGGGATCCACAGAGTCCTTTGGAGACTTGACTCGCTCTATCTCCTTTCAGGTCTCTCTCCACATTACTTGGTCTGGTCTCACCTTTGTGAGCGCCTTATGTCATGGTAACGATCCCTTCGGCTAAGGCAGTTGGACTCTGCTCCCTGTGGAGCCATCGGAGCTATCAGAAGAGCTTGCTGCCCGTCTGCGAGCTGCTCCTTCGGTCCTCGTGGTGAGCAAACTTTGTAGAGCTGCCAGCTCCAGTAGGAGGGAGCAGATCTGGCTTATTGGTGTTGCCACTGGTCGGATCTGGTTGAGTTGTAAAACAGCATGATGTATGAATGTGAACGTGTTTGTGGCTTTTGAAAAACAAGAGACTGGGTCTATATTCTGGAGGAGCAAATATTTCATGTCGATGTCCTATATGAAAGAACTGCAGTGTTGCTGGCCCCACTGTTATGACTTAAGTTCCCTCAAAATCTTGAGATTAATCTAAAGAAATAAGAATTTTTTTAATTTATCTGTACGTTTTTTGTCGCTATTTTGTTTTTTAAACCCTCTTTGGGAGGGAGGTTATGAGTATTAGCACTGTGCTGTCTCCCAAATAAATGGTGAATTTTTTACTATGTTAAGAAATTCCTCTATCTACATCTGTCTGCCTATCCTCTGAGGCCAGTTTCCATCAGTTTTATTTGTGTATCCTAAATCAGCTACATCCCCATTTACCTTTTGTTCTCCAGGCCTGCAAATACAGGTGCAGCAGGATCCTGTTTCCTCAGTCTCACAAGACAGGTGCAGAGTGCCTCGTGCCTTCACTGTTTTCTCAGGCTGAGCACTCAGAGCAATTGGTTGAGGTAAAATTTTTTATTAGAAATTGTTTTTTTTTGAAAATGTTCTACAATGCCAACCCAAAACATGATGTTAGGGAGCTAACATTGCAAAACAAGGCTGATAGTTATGTTTTACTTTTGTTGTGCTGGTAGATGTAAGAATTGCTATTGTAAAGCTGTCATAGGTACAGATTCACCAAATCTCTTTACCGTTTGGTTTAAACGTGTAATTTTGGGCAAATGTTTTAGTGTTTTGCTGCCTTAGGGCTATAATAAATAAAATAATTCAAGGACTAGGAAGGCCAGGGAAGAGACTCCCATTGATATCAAATGGATGTTGAATTGAGTCTCTGCTCTGTCAGGGAAGGTTTACCTGAAAAAAGTTGGACTCTAACTTTAGAAGTATTGCAAGATTATAGATAAATGTGTGTGTTTTTCTAATATGTGCATTTTTCTGTTTTAAAGTCAGTCATGTTTTTTTTTTCTTCTTCATATGAATAATTAAATTACTTTTGGCTGACTGACCTACCTGAGGAGGGTGATCACAGTGTAGGCCCTTTCTTTTTGCATACCCAGGCACATTAGCTGGAAAATCTGAGAATGCATTGACCGTTTTACGTTATTATGAGGTTACAAGACATGAAATAAAGCCTTGGAAATGGCTCTACAAAAGATGTAAGTTCAATTTTGTTATTTGGTATGAAGTGATTGTTAAGAGTCATGCTGTTGCTACCTTTATGTCTGTGGTATACTCGGCTGATACTAACAATTCAGCCTGTAAGTGACTCTAGTATAAAGTCATGATTTTTTTTTCGGTGTTATTGTCAGTACTACTCTAATTTGCCAATGACTGTTTAATTAAAATAAGAGTATGTTTTTATTTTACTTTTTAAAATTATTTAGCATGAATCTTGACAGTAGCTTTACGAAGTCTCTCATGATACTTTTTTCTAAGAATTTTTGCTTCTTATATGGTATTCTCTAGTTTATATTTTTCCAGCTACCAAAACCTGTGTGTCAGTAGGTTTCATTCTCACAAGCTTGTCCTCTTGCATTCTGGTTGTCATACATTGCTCCAAGTCCAACACAAATGGAGCAAACGTCGTGCCTTTTCCAAATGTGTTAGTGGGTTTTGTTGATCAAAATACCGTCTTGATAACAGCCCATCTAGAATGTTTGACAACATGAATTAATTCTTGGAAGAGACTTTCTGAAGTAGTAAAGGGAGTCAGGAACACAGTTCAAATTAGAAAATGCAGAACAAACCCCCAAACTTTGTTGAAAAAGCTAATACTCATCTCTATAAAGTATATTAAATTGTTAAAAAAAAATAATAATAAATCAGTTGGCTTCCAACAGAATTTGTGCTCCTGGAGCCAAGAGCTTTCTTTGGAAATCTGCTCCCCCCTCTGATCTTGGTTATCTTTGTCAACAATCTAGTGTTTTAAAACAAGACCTGTGTTCTTATGGAAGTTTATGTCTGCAGGTGTCCATGTGTATAAGTAAATGCACTGTACCTTTACAACTTCCATAATATGGAGGAATTAACCTTGAATAAAAGCACTTTGAAAAGGAATCATGGGGGAAATAAAATTGTTAGACAAAATCGTGACATGACAAGAAATGTCAAAGCAGCTCTTTGGAGTTCTTTCAACTATATTTTAGATAACTTTGTTTTGCTTCTCGCAGAGATCTGATCTTGGAAGGCTGGAACTTCTGTGCAGAGCAGCTGGAATTAGTTAAATACTAATTGAACCACTGCTGATTTGGTTGCATCCTCCAACATGACCAATCCTCAGTAAGTACCATGTGAGGGTAGTTATAACTTATTTTAAATAGAAGGGAACAGGTTGCTACCCGTAGGAGAATAATGCTGTGACATCAAGAGAGTTCTATCAGTGTTACTGGAAGGAAAAGTTTTTATTTTGAGAAGGAGTAGTGTGATTTGGTCAGTTGTCTGAAGAGTGGGAATTGACAGACAATACATGAATGCCATAAGTGTGTCTGATGTGTTACTAACAGCCAGTGGCTAAAAACTAGTATGTCCTATTATTTTCAGATCTGTTTGCCTTTTTTCTTTCCTGCCACCAAACCTGTCCTAAAGCTGTTTGCCAACAGTGGCCTGTTGGTTTGTTCGTTTTTCTTTTCAGTCAAATCAGACAATGTCTGTCATTTAGTCTATTGAAGAATACAGAAGGTAAATACTGTTGGGAGAGGGAAGGCTGCACCAACCCATTTCCTTTTTCCTTTATAATACTGGAAATTGGATCATTGTATGCTCTTTCATGCAAAACTGAACCAGCTTGGACTTGTAAAGGTAAACGTCCACAGGATGGCACTAAAGGTGAAAATCAAAGACAGACATTTCTTGCTAAAATTAGCTTCTCCCTCTGGGCTTCTGATTTCAGATTGTGTACAGAGGAGAATACAGTTCTGTTGAAAATGAAAGAATCTCATTACTTTCTGTTATTAGTTAGACAATGAATAAAATAAAATAAGCCTTTAGGTTGTTCAGATAGTAGTGTCTTTCACCTCTACTTTCTGCCATAGTATGACACAGTAGCAGCCTTTCCCTGCCAAATATTTAAGATATAACAGCACTTTCTGATTTTAGAAATTACTTTCTTGTGTAATGCTGGCAGCCATTAGCTCATTTTAATTTAGGAATAATGTTTTCCATCCGAAAGGGTTAGTCTAATGGCAAGGCTCTGGCCAATACAATCTCTCTCCATCTCCTTCATGTAGAATTTTAGTTCCCTCACCCACATCCTTAGACTTACAAGATATATGACTTAAGAACTTTTTTAAATTATTCATTTTTTTTTCCTGGAAAAAAAATGAACTGTTATTCAGGTTGCTTGAATAGCTGGAAGATTCTAATGAGCTTCTTTAAAACAAAATCACCAATGCAACTTTTGCAGTCAAGTAACAGAGGGAAGTTGGGTGCTAAGCACTTTTTAACTATATCCCTAAGGAAAAAGAGTATCTTCACACCTGCTGTTGGAAACCTTTGACAAGTAATCTGAGATTTCTTCAGAAGTTAACAGGCTCTCCTGGATGAAAGCGAGAGAAGTTTATGCTTGCACCTACTCTGAAGCAAATGGAGCAAGCAGCTTCCACTGGGTACTGCAAGGGATCAATCCCTGCTGGGGCTTGACGTGCAAGCTCTCTCCTACAAAGAAGTCATCCTTTACATGCGCTAGATAATATGCTAACTGACAAATTTTGAGTTTCTAGATAAGTGGTACTTTGTTATAAATGTGGAAGACATACATGTAGTCAGCCTCTGGTTTTACCAGCATGGAGTTCCCATTAATGTTAGTGGGGTGGTAGAAGAACACATATTCAGATTTAGAAGCTGTATATAAGGACAGTTGAGATAGTCTTTATAGAAGAGTCCATAATTCTTCTGAATCATTGTTCTCCTTTCAGAATTATTTTGAAATAACTTGTGACAGAATGACCCTTTCTAGTTGAATGAAACAAAGTCGCCACCCATCAAAACTATTTGAATATTGACCCACAGTGGAAGAGGGGTCAAACTGCATCCGTTAATTAACAGTTGACTTGTATATAATGATTAATGAGCTTAGCTATTCATTGCTCACTCATCTAACTTACAAAGCAGTGAGTTTTTAGTTGGCATAGGTAGACACCTCCTTTCTGTTTTGCACAAATATTTTGCTTTTGGGTTCATGCACTGTTTCCGTATTTATATGTTTGTTTGTAACATGTCCATTTGTATTTAGTGCTTTTGAAGCAGATTCAGCAGAGTGAAATGCTATTCTCCTTTGTCTCTGAGCTTTCTGTTGATTGTAGTGAGATCTACGAAAGACAAGTTTGGAGAGATTTGGTCTGTCCCCTCAATGAGGACATCTCCCTCAATGACCTTGCAAAGGCCTTTTAAGTTGCTGTCTTTTTAGGATTCTGTGAAGTTCTTGTCTCTAACTTATTGTTACTTGCTTGCTTGCTTATTTATTTATTTATTTATATTTGTTTATATGTGTGTGTAAGAGAGAGAGGGTTTCTTATTTTGCTTATTATATTTTCAGGCCTACAATAGAAGGCAGTGTTTCAGAAGTTGAGATAATTTCACAACAAGTGGAAGAAGAGACCAAAAGCATTGCTCCTGTACAGCTTGTTAATTTTGCTTATCGAGATCTACCTTTAGCTGCACTTGATCTGTCTGTGGCTGGGTCCCAGCTTTTGTCAAATTTGGATGAGGAGTACCAAAGAGAAGGGTAAGTACAAAGGGCAGAAATTTGTTTCTTAGTTTTAGGTTAAAAGAATTTCATGGCCTGTAAAAAAGAAAACCTTGAGCTGCAGAAGTTCAGCCAGTTGTCCTCAAACTCTTTTTAAAACCATTCTCACAGGATGGAAGTGACCTTCTCTAATATAACCAATCTGTGCTCGGTTGGGGCTCTTCATAGCTGCTATTTGACCACAGTCTGGAAGCCTTTTGTCAGGAAAAACTAGACCAAGCATCTAGCCTGTCAGACAAGCAGAATGACCTGGTGAAAGCTCTTTGTGAAAGCTGTCTCAGGAGGGTTTCAAGATAAGAGAGGTTTGGCTACTGTGATTCTTGTACACAGTTGTACATCTCCTGATACAGATAATGATGTAGTACTGCTGTTTCCTGGACAGACTGTGTACTTTTCACAGAATAATTTGGATTGTGTAGTTTGCTTATGTGGAAACGTTGTCTTTGATAATGTATAAGTGTATTGCTCCTGTTTTCATAGAACATCTATTCCGGTTTTATTGGAATGGAAGATCTTAATCAGTTCATGACGTTTTCCCAAATGTAAGCCAGTGTCAGATTATTTAGTATTGTCGTCCTACAGGACATTAGAAGGTGTCCTTATGCCTGGTTCAGTCTTGAGGTGGCTGTAGGTGGACTGCTATACTAAATTTTTTATGAAAGATTTGGGTGAACTGGAAAGAATCCAAAGAGAACGCAGTGAGAATGATTAGAAGCTCAGAAAACCTGCCATGGAGTACTGATTGAAATAACTGTTCGTGTTTCATGTGAAGAAGAAACTTTCAGGGGAGCTTATAAGAGACTTCACTGAGGAAGGGAGCAGGCTGTTATTGACCTCCATGATGTTTAGGACAAGAAGTAAAAAGCTTGAATTGCAGCAAAGAGGAGAATAATGAGGGTAGCAAAGTGCTGGGGCAAACTACTGGTGTGTATGGGGAGGAGGGGGAATAGAATTGCAATCACTCAATCTTTAAGAAGACGCATTTCTGAGGAATGGTACCACTATAGTTCAACATCCCTTGAGACAGGGATTAGGTGAGCGCTTATGCCTAGCCCCTCTGATTCTGAGATTACTGTTCCACTGTGTGTTGCACTGAGCATATATACCTGGTGGTGTCAATAAGATCCATCTAAAAGCATTTCACAGTAAGTCGTATAGAGCTCTCATTGATGAAGACATCAGAAGGCTTCATATAAGCCTCCATTTATTAACAGCTGAATGTGTTTTAAACTGTGCTTAGGAATCAGCAGAGAGACCTGCTTGATCTCTGCTCAGCAGGTATTCTGTGTGGTAGTCAGGAAGCAATGCATGGGGAAGGCTCTTGCCTTTAATTTCTTTCCAAATTGGACTTTATGAGACATCTCCAGAAAGTTGTTACTCAAAACAAGGGGAAATACGTTTCAAGTAGGTTATGTAAGTATGGTACAACTGTGACATAAAATACCCTGCATAGCACAAGAGGCACTTGAAAATTAATTTGAGTATGCAGGTGTAACCCTCAGGCTATTTTGGTGCTGAGTAAATACCAGTTAAGTTCAAATAAGAATTTTCGTAGATTTTTATGATCTGAAACTCAATTCTTCACTGTGCCAAAGTGCACAGATCTCTCATTGTAACCATTTGAGCAGCTTTGCAGTCTTAAGCATGGAAATAGACTTGTCATTCTTTTCCTCAGCAGAGACCTCTTCCTTCACACAGACTTCTTTTGTGGCTTTATCAGTCTGAATGGAAATAAGCAGGTGCCATCCAGACCTCCCAGCTGTAGAGTGGATTCTCTGAAGAAAATTCAGAGCTTCAGTTTATTTGTCTCAATGCATTTTGTGTGAATGTGTTCAGCTGAGTCCCAGGACTGCATCTGCCTTGTGGGAATGGCAGCTTCTTCCTTTCAGAAGCACTGATCACAACTGATGCCCTGTGAAATTTAGGAGCAGAGCTGAGCTCAAGAAGCCCAGCAGAAAAAGTAAATACTGTCCCCATACTCCCTGATGGTCTGTTCTTATGATGTGGTGTAATTTCTTTCTCATGGCCTTGTTAGATGTGACTGGCTTCCACCTGAATAAGAAGGAGATAGGGTGGGTCTGATCAGTTTGGTACAGGAACTGATAAGCTGCGTCTCCCTTGTGTATGAAGAGGGTGATGTGGGAAGGGCAGCACAGGAGGTGGCAGAAAATGTCTAAGTCCCTGTAGTTTCTGCCAGCATCTATATTCGTAACTGTGAAGCTCTGTTACTCCAGTGCTTTCGTACAGGTTACAGGTGGAGATACCAGGCAAGTTGTAGTCCTAACTTCAAGGCTCTGCAGCAGGAAGGTCTGGCACATCTCTGTGCTTGGAAAATGCTGGGTTGTTGTTACAAGCTGCATCTGTCTGTGACCTTGTGGTTTTCAACATAATTGTCCACAATCCCTAGCTTCTGATGTGAGTTGTCACATTTTATCACTAATAAGTCTCTATCTCCTTGCACCAAGAGAGACATCAGACTACGGATGAATGAGTGAGCAATAAAGGAGTCTTCCTTTGGCTTGGTTGTGTGCACCCTGATGCTTTCTTGTAACTTTCCCATTTTAAGGCCAGAAGGTGCTCAGGTTCCAAGCACAAGAGCGAATTTAACCTTGTTGCTAACTAGGGGAGCTTGTTGTGACTAGGGGAGTTGAGAGAATGATTCTCTCAATCAACCTGATGTTAATAGGCATCCAGGAATAGGTGGGTCATAGCTCAGCATGGAAACTCTGAGATGTCATCAGACTAGCTACCCCTCCCACAAGAAATGAAAAAAAGAAAAGGAAAAGCAGAAAGAAAGGAAAATTATGATCTGTCTTTTGTTAGACAGACCTTATGTAAACTGGCATTCCCGTGGCTTTAAAGATATTGGAATAAAAAAATCTTACTGTGTTCAGTTTGGTGAGTCTTTGCTCTATCATATCAAATGCTCAGGGCAGTCAGTTCCCATCTGTCAGTCTTGTTGAAGGAATTTTGTGGACAGTTTGAGCTGGTTTTGTCAGAAATTTAGTTTATAGTGCTGATCCCTGCGCTAAGTAGCGAAGAAAGGACTGCAGATTAGATGTCGTGTTAAGCCTGTCCCTGAAGTACACCTGTAAGTGGTGGAAGGGTAATCAGGCAAGAAAAACCTTTCCCTTCTGCAAGAAACCCTCAAACAAAACACAGAATGCGTTGTTTTCTAATGCGGGTTGAGCAATACTTCTTTCCGCTCTGTAGACTTCTCAAATAGGGAAAGTACAAAGATTTACATGACGGAAGTTGGTTAAGTTGGATGGAATCTGTATTGCAAATATTCTCAGTCATTATAAATCATGTGGGTGGGCTGGCGTCACCTTCTTTGCCCTGAAGAAGAGTAACGTGCCTGTGGCCTCTGTGTGTGGGATAGGAAGGGATTCTTGCATCTGGCTTGCTTCCTAGCTGCAGTGAGTTTGACGTGCCTGGTGTTAATAGAGCTGTAGGTCTCACTCTTCAGAAAAGGGAAATTTTCTGATAAGCCAATCATATGTAACTGAAACATTTTGAGTTATGTGACTATAGTAATTCCTGTTTATAAAGGTATATCTCTTCCACCCTTTGTAGCACTGTGAAGAAATAGTATCTTGGCTCTCCGAACTAGTGTGTGATGTGCATTACTTACTAGTCCCACTGATCTGCCCTGCAGTTAACTTGTTAGTATCATCCTCAGATATCGCTGCTGTGCACTGAGCTCCATGTTTAAACATTGCAGAAATGATCAAGGCATAGTATAGAGACATGTATATGAGAAATAAAAAATGTACATTGAATGCTGAGGAAAACGTGGTTTACACTTCTAACATTTCTGTGACAGGTGATACTCGCGTGAAAAAGCAGCAGCAGCAAAGTTGCCCATTTTTGTGTCTGTGAATTTATTGGAGAGGCTGTGTCTGCACTGAACTCCATTTTCACGAAAAGAACATGTAAACATGTCCAAGGAGACTAATCACCTAGAAAGCTAAGGAGATTTTTAAATCATAGAATCATAGAATGGTTAGGGCTGGAAGGGACCTTCAAAGGTCATCTAGTCCAACCCCCCTGCAAGGAACAGGGACATCTCCAACTAGATCAGGTTGCTCAGGGCCTCGTCCAACCTGGCCTTGAACGTTTCCAGGGATGGAGCATCCACCACCTCTCTGGGCAACCTGTTCCAGTGTTCTACAACTCTCATGGTAAAAAAATTTTTCCTAATATCCAACCTGAATCTACCTCCCTCTATTTTAAAACCATTACCCCATGACTCTCTAATTTAGAGAGAAGAATGTCATGCGGGACAGTGTCAAAAGCTTTGCACAAGTCCAGGTAGATGACATCCATTGGTCGACCCTTGTCCACCGATGCTGTCACCCCATCGTAAAAGGCCACCAAGTTGGTCAGGCACGATCTGCCTTTGGTGAAGCCATGTTGGCTGGCACCCACCACCTCCTTGCTCTCCATGTGCCTTAGCATGGTTCCCTGGAGAATCTGCTCCATGACCCTGCCAGGCACAGAGGTGAGGCTGACTGGCCTGTAGTTGCCCGGGTCCTCCTTGCTCCCCTTTTTAAAAATGGGGGTTATGTTCCCTCTCTTCCAGTCATCGGGGACCTCGCCAGACCGCCACGACTTCTCAAATACAATGGCCAGTGGCAAAAATGGCAACTTCATCCGCCAGTTCCTTCAGGACCCGCGGATGGATCTCATCAGGTTAACATTAGCTTTAAGTGCTACTCTTAATGTCTTTTCTTCCAATCAAGTATTCTGCTTTCCAGAAATTACTTTTTCTTTTCTATTTTTGCATCAATGACCAAGAAAAATGATGGGGAATAGTTGGAAAATTGACAACATGCAGAAAGGGATACATGTTTGCTAAAGACAAGCAGGGATAGGAAAAAGCTCTCCTTTCTGTATTTTCCTTAAGTTCCAATTAGGAGGTATCATTCCTAATAAATTATAAAAGAGTTGCACAACAGGCTGTATTTTGGTTTTGT